ATCAAATTGAAAAAAATTCGAGAGGGGTGGAACAGAAGAGTGTCTCAATGATGTAAAAGACAAACACAAAGTTAGAAAAAAAGGTGAGGTGAGTACTGTAGAAGTAGTCGAATATGCCATAGAGTGAGGTGATGGTAGTTTGAAGTGAGAAGTCAACTATACAGTGGGGTGATGGTAGTTTGAAGTGAGAAGTCAACTACCAGTCAATAGACTTTTTTCCGCATAAGTATACGTTGCCCAGGGTGCACCACATGGAGGTTGTAAGTACACGTTGCCCAGGGTGCACCACGTGGAGGTATGCCGTTTGAGTATACGTTGCCCATTGGTTTATAGACTTGTTTGCCGTATGAGTATACGTTGCCCGTCAATGGGGTGATGGTAGTTTGAAGTGAGAAGTCAACTGCCACAATGGGGTCATGGTAGTTTGAAGTTAGAAGTCAACTGCCTTTAATAGACTTTTTTGCCGTATGAGTATACGTTGCCCAGCGGTTTATAGACTTTTTGCCGTATGAGGTCTGTTGCCCAAATATGACATACAGTGGGGTCATGGTAGTTTGAAGTCAGAGGTCAACTGCCGGTTTATAGACTTTTTGCCGTGTTAGGGTTAGATCAACTGCCGGTTTATAGACTTTTTTGCCGTATGCGCATACACAATGACATACAGTGGGGTGATGGTAGTTTGAAGTGAGAAGTTGTGACATATAGTGGGGTGAGGGTAGTTTGAAGTCAGAAGTCCACTGCCGGTTTATAGACTTTTTGCCGTATGAGTATACTTTGTAACATACAGTGGGGTCATGGTAGTTTGAAGTCAGAAGTCAAGGCATACAGTGGGGTCATGGTAGTTTGAAGTCAGTGGTCAACTATACAGTGGGGTGATGGTAGTTTGAAGTGAGAAGTCAACTACCAGTCAATAGACTTTTTTCCGCATAAGTATACGTTGCCCAGGGTGCACCACATGGAGGTTGTAAGTACACGTTGCCCAGGGTGCACCACGTGGAGGTATGCCGTTTGAGTATACGTTGCCCATTGGTTTATAGACTTGTTTGCCGTATGAGTATACGTTGCCCGTCAATGGGGTGATGGTAGTTTGAAGTGAGAAGTCAACTGCCACAATGGGGTCATGGTAGTTTGAAGTTAGAAGTCAACTGCCTTTAATAGACTTTTTTGCCGTATGAGTATACGTTGCCCAGCGGTTTATAGACTTTTTGCCGTATGAGGTCTGTTGCCCAAATATGACATACAGTGGGGTCATGGTAGTTTGAAGTCAGAGGTCAACTGCCGGTTTATAGACTTTTTGCCGTGTTAGGGTTAGATCAACTGCCGGTTTATAGACTTTTTTGCCGTATGCGCATACACAATGACATACAGTGGGGTGATGGTAGTTTGAAGTGAGAAGTTGTGACATATAGTGGGGTGAGGGTAGTTTGAAGTCAGAAGTCCACTGCCGGTTTATAGACTTTTTGCCGTATGAGTATACTTTGTAACATACAGTGGGGTCATGGTAGTTTGAAGTCAGAAGTCAAGATGTCAACTGCCGATTAATAGACTTTTTTGCCGTATGAGAAGTGATAAGTCAACTGCCGGTTAATAGACTTTTTTGCCGTATGAGTGCGGTTGCCCAGGGTGCACCACGTGGAGGTAAGTCTATCGTATTCTTAAGAATAATTGTTTAGAAAACCAGCAAGGGTTGAAAGTTGCCCAGGGTGCACCACGTGGAGGTAAGTCTATCGCACGCTGTCCAGGGTGCACCACGTGGAGGTAAGTCTATCGCACACACCCCTCCGCTTCCAAATAAGATGTTGATAGTGAAGGCATATTTCCAGGGTGCACCACGTGGAGGTAAGTCTATCGCACACCCACTTGGCTCTCCCCTCAAATTTCAACCCTACACGGATGGGCGTACTAAAAAATATAGAAAGCTAGAACTTTCTGCTCAGATGCCAAAATTTATGTCATAACTCTCATAAAAATTTCATTAAAAAAATTTTATAATCTTGTTTTCTTAATTTCTTTTCAAATTATCTAATCTTCCTCAAAATCTTGGCTTTGGAAGGTTCTAGATCTTCCCATTCATGCTTTGTTGAATGGCATTATGAATATTCCAAATATAGGTTGTTTGGACGTGACAGTATTCCAGAGACTCTTTGAATTTTAAACAAATTTTTCTATATAAAAGTTGCCTTGATGTAAGTTTCCCATTGTACAGAAATAAGACCAAAAATATAACTACTCTGCATTTTGGGCCGATTATCAATATTATTATCCTCCGAATAGCTACTATGTGATTAAAAATTAATCAATTGCCTTATTACAATAATTATTTTGAATTTAACTTATGTGTAATTTAATGCGATCTCCTGTGTCATAATCATGCTAGACATGGGATGTGCGATAGGCTTACCTCCACACCCTGGGCAACGAATACTTATACTGCAAAAAACGTCTATAAACCGATAGTTTACTTCTGATTTCAAATTGCCACGACCCCATTCTATGCCATATTCGATCACTGCCACAATGCGCACCTACCTTTTTTCCTACCTTTGTGTCTGTCTCTTTTACACCCGTGAATCACTCTTCTGCTCCTCCTAATCTCGACTTGTATGACTTAGATGTTGACCTTCCCAACCCCCCAACCCCCCCCCCCCCTACCACCCTCTGTGAACTCCGAAGTCAACCAGAAAACTAATGATAACTATCCTAAAGTCTGCCATTTACCACAAATAAATTAGACTCTAACGCCCCGTTCAGATGATATAATCATCCATCTATTTCGAACCACTTGCCGACAAGATCCAGTTTTCGAGGGCGTGAAGTTGTTCCTGAACCCAGAGTGAGAGCAGAGAAAACTGTCATTTAAAACGACAGAATGAGAACCCGTGAATTATCGTGACCTCTGTTTGATTTCCTCCTCTTTGTCATTGCAAGCTGAACACAAGTATCCATTTTATACGGTAAATATCATACTTAAGGTATTCTTGAACTAACGAAATTCGGTTCATCCTTCACCTCCATTATGAAAAAGCTTTTCTGTTAAAACAATGTATTATCGTCTTAAATTTGAAAACAATTAATTTAAACAAATTGCCGTATCTAAGAGATAAGGCGTTCAGAATCCTATTTACCAATGAGAATGAAGAAGATAAAACGACAATTTTCTTCATTGAAACCGAGATTCGAGGCACCGTTGTATCCTTCTGTCCTGTCGTAAACCAATTGGGTAGAGATTGCAGTAGTTAATAGTTTACGTGAGCGGCGATCTACTTTTATTTTCATCTTCTTAAAGTCCTTCATTTTGAGTTTGTTCCGGGGTTGAAAAGCGTTCACCAAGTTCAATGGTTTAGTTGTTGATAATGCCACCCACTTCTCTGAATTTAAGAGCTTTGTTCGTGCAAGAAACTTTTGGCCTTTAATAGCGACGATGGTAAGATGAAGTGAATTGCGCCAGAGTTTATACATGGTGATAGTATCAAGATACCAAAAATTTGGAAGCTAACGCGTTCATTCCTTAATTAATTATCACTTTTACCCATTTTCAATTACCTGAGGCAGTGTATTTCAGTCGGCATAAAAGTGGAGTACTTTCTATTTGATTCATTAAACCATTTTCATTCTTTGAATACTAGTTGAAAGTATTACGACTTAATTTGACTCGATTAGATTGGCTATTAACAGTTCATTTTAGAATTCATCAATTAAAACTTGCCGTTAGTTCCCGTATTGACGAAAATGTCTCAATTTGACTTTTTAGCGGATAAGACTTAAAAAGAGCTTCAGGCCATAGATGAGAAGATTCATGGATCACTGTAATCTATAAATTTTACGGTGGAAATCAAATACAAAGAATTGCAAAATTTATCATTGATGCGAAGTTTCAAATTATTCCACTTTTACGTAAATGAGGACAACTAATTTTTGTGCGCATTTCCTGCCTCATGGAGTGTGAGAATGTATAAAAATCGGTTATACCCATGCTTGTACGAAATATTGCTTTGGGGGGTTAGAATTTGGCAGAAATGTATCTTTCTACATCATTTATAACGCCCACGCATTTTTGCGCAACTCAATTTCAACAAATTTATCCATTTTAATTTCGCTGCTATCTAACTGCGTAGTTAATTTATGGGGGAGAGAGGGACAAACGGAGCCAGGATAATTGGGGTACGAATCGAATTGGTGGTCCGATAATGAACTGGCTTGTCTACCATGATCGTACACAGACTTGGTTTCGCAGAGTATGTGGCTAGATAGAGCACACAAAATAGATTCTCTAGAATAATATGTACAAAGAAAATTTAGCCCTCCGATGATGCTGTTAAGGAGAGAATAAAAAATAAAACGAATATTTTGAAAACTCATTTGTGGCAGTTAGGGATTGATTAATGAATCCGCTTAATTTCAATTATTTAAACGTTCAGGTTATAGCTCATAATATTTATTTATATCAAATGTCAGCCTTTATGTTAGTTATCATTCGCCCTCTAGTGGACTTTGGACTTCATATAGGGGAGGAACATTTATTTATTTATTTATATCAAATGGCAGGCGTTTTGATAGTTATCATGAGCCCTGGAGCTGACTTCGGGGCTTCATGAAGAGGAGAAAGGACATCAAAGTGACAAAAAGTCGAGATGGGAAACAGAATAATGATTCACAGAGGTAAAAGAGACCGACAGACACAAAGGTATAAAAAAGGTAAGATGAGTACTGCGGAAGGGGTCGAATATGAAAAATAGTCGGGCCATAGAAATTTGAAGTCAGAAGTCAATTGCCGATCAATAGACGTTTTTGGCGTGTAGTATACGTTGCCCAGGGTGCACCACGTGGAGGTAAGTCTATCGCACATTATTATCATTCATTATCCAGGTCAAGTCTACCTCAGTTGTCAGCAATTCCACATAGTCATCTGAATTTAACCTTAGTCCTTCTTACAGGGAATATTAAGGGAGGACTCACACCTGAGAACGTCTTTTGTTTACGGAAGAGACAAAGCCAGACCTATGTGTACATTTCGGGAGCGTTAACATTCTTTTAAGAAGCTGAAAAGTGGTAGACAAATTGCGTCTTTTAATGTGAAAATATGTGCTTGGAGCTTTTAGTTTGTAACGGCAAATGAGAGCCCCATCACAAAATATCCACTGACAGTGGTTCATGCTAAAAATTGTTCACCAGAAAGTGAATTCTAAATTTAGAGCCGCAGATTCAGTCGCTGATGCCAATATAAAACGTGTGCATCCTGTTTCTTCTCTGGAATATATTCAAACTGTTCAAGTGACTCTGCCCAGTAGTGCACAGAAATCAAGCACGCAATTTTCCACCCAACTAAACATCGATTGAACGTATTGTCAGAACATATTGAGCAGTTTTGAGGCTTAAATTACAACATAAGAGTGATGTAAACAGTACAAACTTCGACATGGAAGATTTGAAGTTTGAGAAAATCACACCGAATGAATTAGCAAAGGTTTTTACAAAAATGTTTTGACCTGCTTGGCTGTGCATCGAAGTTCATAGTGCAATTGCTTTGAACTTTTGAAGGTTAGTCCTATTCTGAATCTACAACTTTTACGTATTACTTTACGCATTTGTATTCACATGGGTGTATTTTTTGTCTTATTGGCGTCGTTTCAATTGGCAAGTTTCTTTCCTGTCCAATTTAGGGTAATTTCTGTAAAGTAAAAATCAGCATATCTATTAAACTTGAGTGAAATAAACGTATCAAACATATAACCCAAAATTTCAGTTCTAGAGATTCTTACACGATAGGCTTCATGAGGCTACCCTACTAAAACGAAAATGTTTTCCTTAATTGGCGTAAAAATTTGCGTCGTATTTATTTATTTATTTCAAATGGCAGGCGTTTTGATAGATATCATTAGGCATTTTACTGACTTCGGGCTTCACAGAGGGAAGGTTCATCAAAGTAGCAAAAGGTCGAGGGGTGGGGAACAGAAGAACGATTCACAGATGTAAAAGAGGCAGACAGACAAAGGTAGAGAAAAAGGTAAGGTGAGTACTGTGAAAGGGGTCGAATATGACAACCAGGGGGGTCATGGTAGTTTGAAGTCAGAAGTCAAATGCCGGTTAATAGACTTTTTTGCCGTATGAGTATACGTTGCCCAGGGTGCACCACGTGGAGGTAAGTCTATCGCACACCCCAATTTGCGTCGTAAAAGAGTAAGAAAGCTCCGCATAATGAAACATAGGTCAAAATCGGCTATATGGAGAAGTAAAGTTCCAAATGCCAATGTCAAGTATCGAGAAGGAAGATGGGGGGAGAGAAATTTCAAGAACTCGCTTGAAGGTCCAGTGGTGGACCATACACAGAAAACCTGATTCAAAGAGGATTAACGAATC